TACATTCCTGGAGATTGCGAATAATGTAGACAGAAGAACGTATTGCTGAATTTCGTGTTTAAAACAAACTCTACGGGGTGATATAATGCTGTTCCTGTTCGCGCTTAACAGCTGACCGATTACCTTTGAATGGATGGCTTTCCAGCTGTTACCAGTTTGTCCAGTTAGCTTACCATGTACATTGGCGGACTCGACATGCAGAGAGGAGTTGACTATGACAACGGGGTTTGAGTCTGGTGTAGAACGGTTCCAGAAAGTGGGTAAGACAAAAACAGAAGTAAATAACAGGGTAATAATGTAGTAAAATCTGAAAATGTGTTAAAAGTCAGGCGAGGGTTTTTCTTTTTCTGGATTGCCTTTTAAAACTGTCAATTGGGTTTAGTGAAGTGGTTGGTCAGGTCAGTTGGTGCTTTTGAAAACACTATTGATTGGGTTCAGGGAAGTAAGAGGGTGGGTCAGTCGGTTAGTCAGTCAGTCAGTCAGTCGACAGCAGCCTCTTGTGGATTTATGCAAGAACAGCAAGCACGAATGGCACTAGCGAGAGAAATTTGAGACCTCAAAAAGTGTTCACAGCAGCCTCTGGTGGATTCACGAAAACAAAAACTGCAAAAAATGTACCTCCGAGAACATGTTTCGCGATCTCCTGAAATGTATATAGCGGTACGTTTTCAGTATGAGCCTGGGTCGTTGTTTTATATTTGTTTCTGTGAAAATTTTCTTGTAGAATTGTTTTGATAAGTGATAGAGAACCATTTTAGAGAAATGGTATTAAAAAGGGGTTTAGAAGTCAAAGTCTCTCTCTCTCTTTCTCTCTCTCTCTCTCTCTCTCTCTCTCTCTCGATCTCTCTCTTTCTCTCTCTGGTCTCTAGTTTGCACATGGTGATATAAATTCAGATTCAGCAAGTAAGCTTTTCTCTCCAGCCAACCACTGCACTGGACTCGCAGTGGGGGGAAAACAGTCAAACTGCACCGAAGAGTGAATTCACAGAGGATCACAGTAGATAAGTTATTCAGAGTGAAGGACAGAGACACGGAGCATTTGTTATCTCTTTATTCAGAGAAGGCGCATTAGTAAGGGCCATTGGGAATGCAAAACAGCGACTCCATCCTTTGCTTTACACAGCTTTAGTTATCTTTAAGGGATTATTCCACATCTGAAATCTTTGTGTCGATTGGCATCATGGCACACGCTGCAGCACACCTGAAAAAGGCAAGGGAACTGGAACAACCTCCTGAGATAAAGGCTCTCGCCAAAGCCAGAGAGAGACGCAGGAGGCATAAAGAGAGGGCAGAACGCAAACGAAAGGTATTGAGATTTACAGACCACTAAAAACATTTGATTTCACCTCAGATTTGTCCATTATAGCTCTGATAAAGCTGACCTATTGACCTATTAGTCATATTTACAGTATTAGAGCAGACTGCTGGGTTTAAAGAAATCTGAGATCATATATTTAAAATGTTTAATAATTCAAAATTAATATGCAAATCATGGCAAAGAAAAGGAAATATTCAGAAATATTCATTGTCTTTCTTGATATGCTGAAGTACGGTGTTGTGGTGCACTGTTTAATGTGTAGTAATTCATTGTGAATTGTTCATTTCTGTGCTTTCAGTGTTAGCGGATGTAAAATACTGTATCTGTGATGAGAGTTAATCTCACTGACATTCACATGCACAGAGGGTTTATTAAGGTCAAAGGGTACGATGATGTCATACACGATATGATCTTGATTTGAATATTTTCATATGGCATCTTAATGAAACTTCTTTTTTCAAAATTGCATTAACAGTAAGTCATTTTATAATTGTTAATGATTATTATTACATGTTGCTAGTGCATGCAAATTTAATTCAATGGCCTCAGTCTGATTACTTATGCATGCCTTTTCATGCAGCATGGTTTTTATTATAAGATATTTTTTTTTGTTTATTTGAAATGTCAAATTAATTTTGATTTCTCATTTGTCAAACCATTGTTATCTGCAGCATGCAATAATTAATTAATCGTTTTATGGTGTCTTTTTTCAGTTTTTCGTGCTGCAGATGAGCTCTAGGGATAAATCCTGTAGTCAGCTGTTCTGCACCTGTTTCAGAGCACAGATACTGGAAGAGGCTTAGAAAATAGGATCATCCTGTATGCAGATTTGTCTCTACAGGGCAAAATCTCATTGGTTGCATGTGTAATGATGATACAACATTTTGACACATGTTTTTTAATAAAGTTTTTTAAGTGTTAGTAAATAATCATAATGCAGCCAAAGATTTGTTATAAGAAATTATCATTATTAATTCATTTATTTGTCACGACAGACATAATGAACAAATCTTTCATTAAATACCCATCGTTTACAAAGAAGTTTAAAAAAAGAGTTTTAAAAAAGCTTAATGGAAGTGAAAATGTTTACCATCAGAAATGTGCTATTAAACATGTAAACATGTCCTGTAATTATGAGTGTAGCTGTTTGACCCGCATGATCTCCTGGAACCTTTAACTGCTCATATAAGCAGGTTAACATAACTGAAATACATATAATGTTTAGAGCTGTGAATGTACATGTTTTCATATAGACTGCAGTTTTACTGTAAATACACCTTGAGAATTAAAAAGCAGTTATAATTCGCAAAGATACAGTTTAATTGTTTGGAGTCCGTAAGATAAAACTTTTTATCTAAACTTTTATATTTTTTTACTTTCTAAAACATTTTAAATTTGCTAAAAGAAAAGCACATTTGTAATTGCAGTGAGTTACAGGAACAAATTACATTTTAAAATATTAAAACACTAAGAAAAAAATTAATTAATTATATATATATATATAGTGCATCCGGAAAGTATTCATAGCGCTTCACTTTTTCCACATTTTTTTATGTTACAGCCTCATTCCAAAATGGATTAAATTAATTTATTTCCTCAAAATTCTACACACAATGCCCCATAATAACAATGTGAAAAAAGAAAAAAAAATTAAATTGTAGCAAATTTATTTAAAAAACAAAAACAAAAAAAAAAACCAGAAAAATCACATGTACATCAGTTTTCAAAGCCTTTGCTCAATACTTTGTTGATGCACCTTTGGCTGCAATTACAGCCTCAAGTTTTTTGAATATGACGCCACAAGCTTGGCACACCTGTCTTTGGGAATTTTTGCATATTCCTCTTTGCAGTACCTCTCAAGCTCTATCAGGTTGGATAGTAAGCAACCCATTGATTATCATGCTTATTTTATGGTCATATACAAAGTTGTTGACGAGTTATTACTAGTATTGCATTTTGCAGCAAAATTGTAAGTTACAGCACTTACCAACTGTGAATCAGTCACAGGCTGAGAGAGAGAAAGAGGGGTGTGTGTGTGTGTGTGTGTGTGTGTGTGTGTGTGTGTGTGTGTGTGTGTGTGTGTGTGTGTGCGTGCGTGTGTGTGTGTGTGCAACGCAATCTCACAGTAATTCGTAATTTTTTGATTTAGTGGCTAATTCGTATGAATTCGTAAGATCTAATATGTACAATTTAGTATGATTTGCTCATCCCCCAATGATGGTTGGGGTTAGGGGTGGGGTTGGGTGCCAAGCCCTCTTTTTAAAATTAATTTTAAACAGTAGGTAGGTTAATTGAGCCTTTTACGATGATACCCAGAGACTCAGAACGGGGGTACCGTCTCTGTAATATTTAGGTGTTTTTGTGTAATATTTATTATTTTGAGTGATTGGACAACCCAATTCAACCTAGGAGTGAAGAGAGGGTTATAGGATTGTTGATGGGAAGGGAGGAAATAGAGAGAGGGAGGGTGGGTTCGAGAGAACGAGAAGAATGGTGCTAGAGGGCTGGTCTGCCTTAAATAAGTTTTATTGAGTAGGTGATTGGTTAAGAAGACAAAGTGAGGCGTGGTTCTGCCTTTGTTAACAAGTTAACTCCATTAGATGATTGTCACAATTTGTGTTATGCTGGCTGAAAGTCTTTTCGCATCCTAATTGAAATTATTAAATTAAGTGGTCCAAGTCTATTTATGTGTATTTTAATATTCTGTGGAAGCCGTAGGACCAAGAAAAGTTTATCCAATCAAAAATTTAAGTCTGAACATTACAATAGGTTACCTGCTTGTCAAAATGTGTAATTGCTTACCTCTGCACAGCCTGTTTAAACAGAAAGAATTGCCATTGGCATGTTCAATGACAGAGAATGTATGACAAACATCGACAACCTACCTTCTTTTTCAAGTTTGGTTTTGTAATTGCTACATCTTCTATAAAGATTTCTATCTGGTTAAGGTTTCATGATGTATTGTAGAGACGTGGCTTTGGATTGCAAGAATTTGTGTTACAGTACCTGCCTTTTTGCAAGTAAGTCTGTGCATGTTGCCAAGGTGGTTCATTCAAGGTGATGTAAATATCAGTGTCCTCAAAATTACACAGAGAAATGTGTCTCGAATGCAGATAGGTCTCCACAAGAGTCACTGAGTTCACTACTAATCTTGAGGGTGGCACATTTATATAGAACTGTGAACAAACTGACTTAATTTGCCCCGTTAACTGTTGTAAAACAGATTGTACAATGGTTAGCAGGCAAAATGGCATTGACAGAGTAGTCAATGGCACATCAATATGTCTGTAGTAGAAGTCGAACTAGTGCTGACTCACAGTGTAATCAATGTGAAGTGCCTCAGGGCCAGAGATGACCCACAGACACCAATCTGATTCACTTTACTATAGCGGTTTAGTCTCCTCGTGTGTGATTGGAATTATGTGCTGTTAACCTGCATTGCGAAAGATTTCACCGAATTTTGTAGCTCTTATTCTCACACTAAATGCAAATGGTTTGTTGTTTGGAGACCATAGATATTGTGTTTTTTCTGAGTATGCCCTCTTTTTTGGACTTTAGTTGTCTCAGTAGATAGACATTCCTGAAGCTCAGGAGGATAAGGGCAAGTTTCCCAGCTGGCTCTTCCCGGCAGGATTGCCTCTCGCTGTTCCTTGCCCTGTCACATAGCTGCCTAGGCCTGGAGGGGTTAAAAATAACCCATCCCAGGATTCTGGATGGGGCGGATGTTCAGCCTGATATAGCAATGGGAGACACATTTACGGCCGCAGTTGTCAGTCACGAAGCCAGGCGGGAAGAGAGACAAAACCGGAAAAGCAAAGGAGACAAGGGATCAACTCCAACACGGGTCGAAGATTCTCACTGAAGGCGTGGGGCAGGGATCAGAAAGAGCACATAAGAGATGATGTTTGGGACCTGAGGAGAAAGATAGACATGAAAGTTTGGGGGATTTTGCATTAGCTGGATAGATGCTCTGAAGCTGATAATTGAATGGGCTCCTGGGTACTACCTGAAGACTGAGGATAATGCAAACCCATAAAGCTAAGTGCATGTGAGCCAGTTAGAATCAATCTCCAAAGGAACGGTCTGATGTTTGGTGGCTGGTTGTCACTGAAAAAGACACAGCAAGTGAGGGGAATACACTGATGTAAAGTGTGGTGCTGCATTTTGCAAAGCTTTGGATCACTATTTACCATGGGCAATGCTGCAATGTGTAGGGTGTGTGGTTCTAATAAAGGCCTGCGGACTATTGGAAGTGATCCATATCTGGAGCGTTACTACAACTATGAGACGGATACTATGGTAAGGGCATCTTAATGACACCTCAGATCAGTAGAGGATTGTTGATGTAATTTACCACTGGAACCAATACACGCTAGTACTAACTCAGAATCTTTAGCAACTACTATGATTGCAGTTAATGTGTCATTTAGAACATTTGGTATATTAAATCTTAACAGTGTTATGCCATTGTCATGTACTGAGCTGCATATAATTCCTAATTAGTTTGATATTATTTACATAAAAGAAGATTTTTTTTGAGAAATGTCTTTACAAAGGAACAAAGGAATACATGGAAATGAAATCAACAGCCAATAAAACGGTTTGGATACCCAGGGATCATGCTAATCTTCTCTGTATCAAACCAATTTTAGTATATGTGATGTCTCAGGCAACATGAATGCCAACCGTCCTTAACAGTTTTTGTAAACGTAGCTATTATCTTAAAATTTTTGCCACTTTTATATTATTTAAGCAGTTTCATAAGATCTTGAAAGTGTTGTTAGCTTGAATAATTTATTTATTCATTCATTTTGCCTACAGTGCATTTTAAAAGTATTCATAGCGCTTGAGGTGAACCTGAAAAATTTGCTCAATACTTTGTTGATGCACCTTTGGCAACAATTACAGCCTCAAGTCTTTTTGAATATGATGCCACAAGCTTGGCACACCTGTCTTTAGGATTTTTTGCCCATTCCTCTTTGCAGTACCATTTAAGCATTGTCAGGTTGGATGGGAAGCGTTGGATGGTACAGCTAATTTCAAATCTCTCCAGAGATGTTCAATAGGATTTAGGTCTGGGCTCCGGCTGGGCCACTCAAGGAAATTCACCGAGTTGTTGTGAAGCCACTCCATTGATAATTTGGCAGTGTGCTTTGGGTCATTGTCCTACTGGAAGATGAACTGTCGCCCCATTCTGAGGTCAAGAACACTCTGAAGCTGGTTTTCATTCAGGATGTTTCTGTACATTGCTTCATTCATCTCTTCCTCTATCCTGACTAGTCTTCCAGTTCCTGCTGCTGAAAAACATCCCCATCATGATGCTGCCGCCACCATGCTTCACTGTAGGGATGGTATTAGCCTGGTGCTGAGCGGTGCCTGGTTTTTTCCAAACATACCGCCTGGCATTCACTGCAATGAGTTAAATTTTAGTCTCATCAGACCAGAGAATTTTGTTTCTGATGGTCTGAGAGTGAATAAATCCATTTTGGCATAAGGTTGTAAAATTGAAGCGCTTAAAAGTGAGCGCAAATTTGGTTTAATAAGATTTGGTAGATCCAAAAACCATTTCAAATCTGTTGGCATCCACATTTTGTAATGTGAAGGATGCTATACAACAGGGTTGAGGATCCACGTGCAGTTTATTACAAGAATGGTCTGGCAGGCAATGGTCAACAAGGTCAAACAGGTACATGCAGAGCAATCCAAACTCGTGGTCACAGAACAGACAAATAGTCAGTGAATCACTGAATCAAACAGTCAGCAATGAATCAAAACAAACTAACAAAGCAAGGGTCAAAACAAGGCGAGGCTAAAACAAAAAAACCTGTTGTAATGCACACAGATAAACAAGACTCAGCCCTGAATAGTGTGTGTGTGTGGTTTATAAAATCCATATAGTGGTGGATTTGTAGTCCTTTAGCGATTTGCATGTTTACCAATGATTTGCAGCCGCTAGATCGCTGGTGCTCATAACACAACACAGTGTATCAAGCACTTAAACGTTTAAACATCATTGTTGTTATATCATGTTTAATAGTTAAATCTTTGAATTGTCACAAACTCATTTTGAACTTTTGTTGCCTGCTTGACTTCATATAGTGTGCAGGGCTACTTCATGAACCAACGTTTAGTCTCTGTTTAACTTTGGATCCCACACGTGTTGGGTTATGACCTCTGGACCT